CCATGACATACTGGTAGAGTTGGGGGAGAAAAATACATCCTGTCTCCAGGCATACTGAGATGCCCCATCCCACCCCACTGCGCTTCTCTCACCAGGGCTGGGGACACTCTTGCTCTGGCCCTTGGAAAGCTGATTCACATGCTCATCCTTCAGGTCTCAGCCTATCTGTCTTCTCCTGCCTTCTCTAAGTAGGTCCTCCACTCTTGCTGCTGTCACTGTATCCTGTTTGCTCTTCAGCATAGCACATGTCACAATTTGAAACTGCACACTTGTTGGCTTATATGTTCAGTGACTGCCTCTCCCACTTTGAGTACAAGCTCCAAGAGGGCAGAGGAACCATGTCTGTTTTCTTCGCCAATACACCCAGCATCTAGGGCATCTAGATGTATTTGCTGAGTTAACTGAATAAATGAATGGGGGACTCTAAGGCAATGGCAACCCCAGGGAGGAAATATTGTTAGGGCACACAGCGAGGTAGTCTTCTGGCCCCTACACTAGTGAGTAAGTTCCCTGCTAGGTCTGAGCTTGGCCTTGGCAAAAGATCAGAGAGGACATGAAAAGGAGATGATTCTGGCTTTAGGTTGTAACAGAAGTCCCTTAGGAAAAAGCGTAGCTGCTAAGGTGGGGAGTTTGTTCTGTCCTTACTTAGGTTTCCACTCACATCAAGGTAGATGTGAGCTGATTCCTCACCAATGTGGGATCCCACATGACCCAAGAGAGAAGGGGGAGCCCTGAGATCAGAAAGGGGTGCGTTATCATGACTGAGAAATGCTCTAGTGGAAAGGCCAGAAGATCTGTCATTTGTGGCTATGTGACCTTGGGCAAGTTATTCACCTTGTTGTGCCTCAGTTTGGTCATCCACAAAATGGGGCTGATTATACTTGTCCCAACAGGCTCATAAGTTGTGGTGAAGACTGAATGAAGCAATAGATATAAAATCAGCTTGTGAACTGAGAGTGCTCTACATATCTGGAGATGGTGCCTTGCTTATCAGCCCCTTAAAATCCGGCGTGGTCCTGGTGCAAAGTTAGATGGCTCAGTGGACACTTTCTGAACTGAGCCACGTGAGCACGGCTGCTGGCTGGCACTGTTTGCTTTCTCTTCTCCAAGCCTTGCTGAGCTGGGGGGCCCCATCTGCCTCAAGATTAGAACAGGCTGGCCGCGTGTTGGCCCTGTTGACATTTTGGGCCAGATCATCTTTTTTGTTGAGGGCTGTCCCGTGCACTGTCGGCCTCTACCCACTCCATGCCAGGAGAAGCCTCTACCCTCACGCCCAATTGTGGAAACCCAGAATGTCTCTAGACATTGCCAAGTGTCTGTGGTGGCAAAATTGCCCCAGCTGAGGACCACTGCCCAGACAGACAACCTTGCACACTCCTGCCCCCACCCAGGGGGCAACTTCTGGGGACACAGTAAGACTCAGAGGTATTTGAAAAATAGGAAGCATATCCAGTGAAGGAGCTTACAAAGTAAGGCTATACAGGAGAACCCCTAGAACTGTCCTTAGAAACTTCTGGGGGCTGCCTGTGATACACTGGCCTGCCAAGCAGCTACTTCACTGGACTTAGAACAGCACTTGTGCTAACACAACACACACCCAGTAGTGAGTGTATACAACCTGTTCCCTGCACTTAATCCACAGACCACAACCATTTCCCCCCTTGTGGACAACAGACACAAAATTATGGTTTTTTTTTAAAAGTGTGAGCCCTTATGTGTGATGAATCCAAAACCCAAGAGGTTAAAAATAAAGCGTGGGCTCGGAACGGACAGCTCTGTGCTTAGGTTGTGATGTCAGCACCATGAACAAATTATCTTTCATCAGTCTGACTGTATTTTTAAATGTGAACAGCTTAGCATGCCTAACACTACTAATTTGGGGGTGACTTGGACGACAGATTATTCAACTGCGTTTACCAGATGACGCAGACAAATACTTCCCACGCCAATGTCCCCAGATAAAAATAACGCCAGCACCCTCACAGGTCTGCAGGAGGAAAGGACAGGAAGCTGGAGGTATCAGCTGTGTCTGGCACCTCCTTGCCTGCCCGCCTGCCCTTGCTGCAGGCAGAGGAAGTGCTACCCAGGTGACAAGGGATGCTCTGACTGTGGTCAGAAGAGTGAAGAGGCCTGGCATGGTCTCCTTCCATGTGTCACTGGTTCTGCCCACCACAGAGGGTTCTGCTTCCTCGGCAGACATCCAAGGACAGCATAGACAGCACCATGTGAGAGTGGGCAAGTCACTCGGCCTTACTCAGCCCCATCTGGAGAATGGGTCAATAAGATGTGCCCTGCTACCCTTCCCAGGTACTGTGAGATTTAAATGCCTGACACCTGTCTTGCAGGGGAGAGGTTGGCTGTAGGTCTACTAGTGCAGGCCTCAGTGGGGTGATCCAACAGACACTTGAAAGAGCCCCCTCTGCCTCACAGCACCCCACCCCCATCACGGCATGCCACAGTGCCTGAGGCCATCCCACTAGGGCACACTGTTAGGATAAGGCTCTGTTTCTCCAACAAATCCCCAGTCAAACCTTAGGGTAGAACATCAACCACAAATCATGCTGGCATACTTCCACTGATTAGACACTTGCCCTTCTATGAGAAAAACAGGACTGGAGACAGGTGAGTTTTGAAGGAAGGGAAGTTAGGGACAGTTTAGATACCCCTCATGGGTAGTACTATGGGAAATCATCTCCAGGGTGGCTGATCACAGGAGGCCTGGGAGTCCATGGGGGACTATGGTGAGGACATTGGGGACCTGGGTGGGAGGAAAGGCAATTAGGCCTTTTTGCTCTAAGCTGGGCATATCTGTTCAGCCATCAGAGAAAAGGCTTGAGCTGCATAAGGGATGGTCTATAGGAAACTGCAGGTGTCCAACCCAGACTTACCAAGCAGTGAGATTAGGGGAAACAATTCCCACTGTGCAGGTCCCATCAGTAACCCTAGGGATTTGAGTAGTAGTGCACTCACAAGTATTCCAGAAGCTACAAGCGTGTAAAAGAGGCAAGCCTGTTCTAAGTCTCTCTCCACCTTGGGGCGGCTGTGGGCTGCGCCAGTTTGAGTGTGCAGGGCAGGTGTGCACCGGGTATCTATCAACAGAAGTTCAGGTGGCTGCTTCTTTGTAAAAATGTCCATGTAGATAAGCTGCTTTCTGCTCTAACCATCTCCAACCTGTCTCCTCTTTCTGCACACAGACCCCCACTGATCCAAAAACATGCAGAATAGTGGAAATGTTTGCCATTTTCAAAACTGGGCTTTCGGGGGTTATTTCTTTCTCTGCTCTAAGCCTGCAGTTCCAGTCATTTCCAACACATGAAAGATGGCACCTGGCTGTGGACTTGGCTTTCCCAAGGAATAGATGGCTCATGTTGGGGGGAAAGCCCATTTTCCATAAACATTAAACTCTTAAACAAAGAAAGAGGTTTTCTCTTAATGGTCTGAAATTCTTCCCTACACAGCAGAATTCTTAGTTATCAGACTGGTGACATGAAAGAAGGGAGGGGTACACAAGCTTTGAACCCATTTCTGGGGATACAGAGGAAAGACGTCTAGTTATATTTTCCAGGTTAATAAGCTCCCAGGGATAATAGAATCACCTATCTGAAAGAGCTCAGGAAATACAGATACCTCTTTACAAGCCATTTTAAGAAACCAAAATAAAATAAAATATAACAAAGAAGTGATTTTTTTCCCCCAACAACCACCTTCATTAGATAGAAGAATTCATTGCAGGCTTCTTTTAATCTGTGAACTCCCTTAAAATACTCCTGCCTACATGAGAAGGTGAAATACAGGCTTGCACCTGTGGCANATTTACCAGGGCCTAGTCCCAGCACAGGTAGGTCTCATTCATTATACAGAGCTCTCTGTGCGCACCGGGAGTGGCAGGGGTGGGGGATTGGTTGGGGGGTGGGGGTATTCGCTATGGCCTCAGCCTGAGGAGCAAGCCAACTGCAAAATAAAAGGGCAACAAAGCCAGCTAGTCGCTGCCTGTGCCTCTGTGTGCCCATCTGTAAAATGGAAAGAGACCATTCGACCTGCATCCAGGCTCAAAGAGGCAATGGAGTGACGAAACAGGTGTGAAAAATCCTCCCTAAATACAACAGGGTTACTATGCCCATATTCTACAATTCGAGAAACTGAAGTACACAAGGACAGATGTTCTGTCTGGGGTTTCCTGTGTAAGGAATTGGGAGCTGGGGCCAGAATCCAGCTTATCCAGCTTTTGGGAAATTTCTAGAGTCTGCTCCCAGAGTTTCTGATTGGACCAGGTTCTACTAAGAGGGTCGGGTCCCCATCCACAGGCAGAAATGCTGTCTGGGATCCCACTGCTCTGGGCCGGGCCCACAGGAAGCAATTGGAAACTGAAGAAATGACTTTCGAAATCCTACTTTCAATGAGCGGCCCAATTACTTCTGAAATTGTCCGGAAGGCTGACGTTAAAAATAGATGATTACACAGGCGTTATTAAACTATTTATAGAATTTGAGAAAACCCCTTGAAATGCTCACGAAATCATTTGGCCTATAATGGGGATTCCAGAATGACTCAGCCTGTAGCCCAAATCCACCCGTGACTTTTAACTTTGCCGGAGATGAAGTCTTCAAAAGTCACGTTAACATTCACGTGGCATTATCCCTCAAGGAAGCTGTAATGGGGGTGTGCATGTCTTTGATCAATCCATGTCCCAAAGTGTTTACTGGACGCCAGTCAAGCAAGAGACATGGGTGGGGCACACGGAGGGACAGCAGGGGAGCCAGCACAAGAGGAGAAGGGGGCAAAGTCCCGCAGGCTTGGGGAAGGCCTAAATTTGCGTCTGTGAGATGGGGATCCTGGCTTGTGCCCTGCCTCTGGCAACCGTATGGGGATAGAGATGTGGAAGCGATCGTCATGGCTGTCATTTTCTGCAAAGACATAGAAGGAAGCTGTCTGCATCAGGCTCCATCTGAACAGGCCTCTCTGTTGCAACATGTCGTTCTGTTCGGTCCTTGCCAAGTGGATTTGGTGATGTCCGTTATGTGCAGTGCTGCCGGGCTGGGATGGTCTTGTAGAAAGTGCTCAGGCCCTCTCCAGGGCTGTGAGCTCTAGTCTGAAGACCAGATGGGCTCCTCATGTTGTTCCTAAGGAGCCTCAGGCCACCTGTGGGGATGGGAGAGGGGCGGTCGAGTGTGCAGACTCGGAGCTCCTAGATCCCAGGCAGAGGCCCTCTGCTGGGTCTGTTTCACACAGTTGGGTTGAGGATATGCCTGAGATTCAGTTTGGGAAAAATACCTCTGCTGCTAAAAATATATGAAAACTACTGGTGTGTCAAGAAGTGCACAGGGGACTTGAAAGCCAGACAGGCTCGGATGAGGCTCCCTGACTGACTCCCACCTTGGGCCTGGGCAAGCCCCCTGACCTCTCACAGTTTCACGCTCCCACCCAGGGAAGGGTAATAGAGCTAAACACAATGAGAATGCAAATTGTCTGGCCAGGGGAGATACTCAAACTTCATCCCCTCCTGTTCCCCTGGCCTTCCCAAGTTGGGCCCAAGGACATGCATGTGTGTGGAGGCCTCCCATGCCAGGTGTGATGGGATAGCCTGGCCAGCCTCCCGCTCCTTGGCCAGTGCGTGGTGGGAATCAGGGCTGGGCGAGGGAGGCGGTTCTCTGCAGAGAGGGGGAAGAGTAGGCAGTTACTGACGTCCGCTGACTGAGGGTGGAGGGAAGACACAGGCGGGCCGGAGGTGGGGAAAGGGGTGGGCAGACCTCCACTGGGAGCCGATGTTCAGGCGAGCACTGGTTTTGCAGGCATATTTTTCTTCCTTGTCTAGATTGTAAGCCTCCCGGACAAGTAACTCTTCTCAGCCTTTTTCACGTTTTTGGCAGAGATGAGAGCTGGATGTAAAACAGCAGTTTGGGGACTCTTGTTGACTTGATTTGAGTGGAGGCCCTTAACGTACTTCTGATGAGGGGTGTGCTAACCATGACATACTGGTAGAGTTGGGGGAGAAAAATACATCCTGTCTCCAGGCATACTGAGATGCCCCATCCCACCCCACTGCGCTTCTCTCACCAGGGCTGGGGACACTCTTGCTCTGGCCCTTGGAAAGCTGATTCACATGCTCATCCTTCAGGTCTAAAGCGTGGGCTCGGAACGGACAGCTCTGTGCTTAGGTTGTGATGTCAGCACCATGAACAAATTATCTTTCATCAGTCTGACTGTATTTTTAAATGTGAACAGCTTAGCATGCCTAACACTACTAATTTGGGGGTGACTTGGACGACAGATTATTCAACTGCGTTTACCAGATGACGCAGACAAATACTTCCCACGCCAATGTCCCCAGATAAAAATAACGCCAGCACCCTCACAGGTCTGCAGGAGGAAAGGACAGGAAGCTGGAGGTATCAGCTGTGTCTGGCACCTCCTTGCCTGCCCGCCTGCCCTTGCTGCAGGCAGAGGAAGTGCTACCCAGGTGACAAGGGATGCTCTGACTGTGGTCAGAAGAGTGAAGAGGCCTGGCATGGTCTCCTTCCATGTGTCACTGGTTCTGCCCACCACAGAGGGTTCTGCTTCCTCGGCAGACATCCAAGGACAGCATAGACAGCACCATGTGAGAGTGGGCAAGTCACTCGGCCTTACTCAGCCCCATCTGGAGAATGGGTCAATAAGATGTGCCCTGCTACCCTTCCCAGGTACTGTGAGATTTAAATGCCTGACACCTGTCTTGCAGGGGAGAGGTTGGCTGTAGGTCTACTAGTGCAGGCCTCAGTGGGGTGATCCAACAGACACTTGAAAGAGCCCCCTCTGCCTCACAGCACCCCACCCCCATCACGGCATGCCACAGTGCCTGAGGCCATCCCACTAGGGCACACTGTTAGGATAAGGCTCTGTTTCTCCAACAAATCCCCAGTCAAACCTTAGGGTAGAACATCAACCACAAATCATGCTGGCATACTTCCACTGATTAGACACTTGCCCTTCTATGAGAAAAACAGGACTGGAGACAGGTGAGATTTGAAGGAAGGGAAGTTAGGGACAGTTTAGATACCCCTCATGGGTAGTACTATGGGAAATCATCTCCAGGGTGGCTGATCACAGGAGGCCTGGGAGTCCATGGGGGACTATGGTGAGGACATTGGGGACCTGGGTGGGAGGAAAGGCAATTAGGCCTTTTTGCTCTAAGCTGGGCATATCTGTTCAGCCATCAGAGAAAAGGCTTGAGCTGCATAAGGGATGGTCTATAGGAAACTGCAGGTGTCCAACCCAGACTTACCAAGCAGTGAGATTAGGGGAAACAATTCCCACTGTGCAGGTCCCATCAGTAACCCTAGGGATTTGAGTAGTAGTGCACTCACAAGTATTCCAGAAGCTACAAGCGTGTAAAAGAGGCAAGCCTGTTCTAAGTCTCTCTCCACCTTGGGGCGGCTGTGGGCTGCGCCAGTTTGAGTGTGCAGGGCAGGTGTGCACCGGGTATCTATCAACAGAAGTTCAGGTGGCTGCTTCTTTGTAAAAATGTCCATGTAGATAAGCTGCTTTCTGCTCTAACCATCTCCAACCTGTCTCCTCTTTCTGCACACAGACCCCCACTGATCCAAAAACATGCAGAATAGTGGAAATGTTTGCCATTTTCAAAACTGGGCTTTCGGGGGTTATTTCTTTCTCTGCTCTAAGCCTGCAGTTCCAGTCATTTCCAACACATGAAAGATGGCACCTGGCTGTGGACTTGGCTTTCCCAAGGAATAGATGGCTCATGTTGGGGGGAAAGCCCATTTTCCATAAACATTAAACTCTTAAACAAAGAAAGAGGTTTTCTCTTAATGGTCTGAAATTCTTCCCTACACAGCAGAATTCTTAGTTATCAGACTGGTGACATGAAAGAAGGGAGGGGTACACAAGCTTTGAACCCATTTCTGGGGATACAGAGGAAAGACGTCTAGTTATATTTTCCAGGTTAATAAGCTCCCAGGGATAATAGAATCACCTATCTGAAAGAGCTCAGGAAATACAGATACCTCTTTACAAGCCATTTTAAGAAACCAAAATAAAATAAAATATAACAAAGAAGTAATTTTTTTCCCCCAACAACCACCTTCATTAGATAGAAGAATTCATTGCAGGCTTCTTTTAATCTGGGAACTCCCTTAAAATACTCCTGCCTACATGAGAAGGTGAAATACAGGCTTGCACCTGTGGCAGATTTTTTTCCCCCAACAACCACCTTCATTAGATAGAAGAATTCATTGCAGGCTTCTTTTAATCTGTGAACTCCCTTAAAATACTCCTGCCTACATGAGAAGGTGAAATACAGGCTTGCACCTGTGGCAGCCCAGGAGACTGTCATTTCTCAAAAATTCCAAGTTATCATAACCCCAGGAAACTGTGACCTTGGAGAAATCAGGCTGGCAGAGAAGCTAAGGCCCATCAGCAGAAAGCAGGGGACTTTGGAGGGGCCCAGGCATGCTGGGGAGAATGGCAGTTTCATGAGCTCTTGGGACACATCCATGCTCCAATGAGCCTTTCTCCAGCAACTAAGTCATGGTTTGACACTCTGTCCTTCAAGGAAAAGATAACCTTGCTGCTGAGGCTCAAAATACCTGGCCAGGAGTAACGCTGCCTGCTTCTAAAACACGGCTTATTCCTAAGGAGAAGGTGATATCTATTAACAGAAGAAGTGAAGGTAAAACTAACCAGTTATGATTTCCACATTCTGTCATGGATCCTCATACAGGACTCTAGCCAGCGAATTTGGAGTCTACAATCATCCATACATCCACCCATTTATCCATCCATCTATCCGTCCAGCCACTTACGCACCCACCCAGCCACCCATGCATCCACCCACCCACCCACCCACCCACTCACCCATCCATCCATCCATCTATACCCCATCGACC